TTTTTTTTCTTTTTTTTTTTTGTCGTTCTTTCTTTGTGGCGACGATTCCGGCCAGACGTTTCCCCTGTGTGCATCTCTCTCTGTCTTTCTCTCTCTCTCTCTCTCTCTCTCTCTCTCTCTCTCTCTCTCTCTCTCTCTCTCTCCCCTCTTGTCCACGGCGTTACTTAGTCCGAAGTGGCCAGCAGTGAGAAACATGTCGCCGCGTTCCAGAATTTGTTGGAACCTGTTATGAAAGGATTCCTGCTCTAACGGGATGTACCCGACCTGAAAGATAGCTTGTTACATTCATTATTCAGGTGCGTTGTGTTCGGGGGAAGACGACATCGTGTGCTCTGAGGCAGTGAGCACACGATAGAGCACACGATACCGTCTTCCCCCGAACAGAACGCACCTTAGTAATGAATGTATGCACGCTATCTTTCAAGTCGGGTACATCCCGTTACGAGGGTGCGTTGTGTTCAGTACGGGAAGTACACGCGGAAAGAGAAGGCAGAACAGGACCAACGAGGAGTGGAGGGACATGTGAAGTTTTACTCGACATCGGGATAGGGAGGAGGTATCGGGAGGAGAGGGGGAATGGGGGGAAAGCAGGAGGGAGGGGGACGCGGGAGGGGGAGGAAGAGGAGCGCGGAGGCGAGGGGAAGCGGGGCCACGGCGCGCAGGCGGGCGGAACATGCGGAAGGGGGCACAGCAGGCGGGAGCATGTCGTATATAGCATGGATGGGTGCTATACCATCATCCTGCTCGGGATTTATCGTTTTTCTCCACCCGTTTTTGCCGCTCTTCTTCCTCCCTCCCTCCCTCCCTCGCCTGCTCCTCCCTCCAACGTCCCTACAATTATCCTCCCTCTCCCATCCTCCCTCTCGTTCGTGCTTCTTCGTCCATCGCCTGCTCCTCTGCCTAGATGCCTGCGGCATCCTTTACCTCCGGTCGTGCATGTTCCACATGGCAGAGGAGCCGACACGTCGGTCATCCATTCTATCTTCCCTCCTGCTTCCTCCATCGCCCTCGTTTTTGTCCTTATTCTTCCTTCCTCCTCCCTTCTCCTCGCTTCACTATCGACCCTGCATCCGCCGCTCTTTTCTTCACCCTCCTCCAGCATGCATCCTCCCTCCTTTTCTCGAAAAGGAGGAGAAAAGGAGGGAGAGAGAGAGAGAGAGAGAGTACACCGTCCTCACTCATCGATCACACCTGTTCTCCTCGCTCGTTCGCGTCCATCCGTATCACAACAACACCTGATCGGGGGAGAGGGAGAGAGAGAGAGAGAGAAAGGGGTTTCTCCTCCCTCTCCCATCCTCCCTCCATCCACTGCTCTCCTACACGATGCATCGTCGATCTTCCCATCCCTCCCTTCCGCGTCTCCACCCTCGTCGTTCGCTGAGTGGACCTGTGCGGGCATGGGTATTGCCGTGGGTTTTGTCGCTCTTTTTCCTTACTCCCTCCTCCCTGCTCCTCCCCGCACTATGCTCCCTCCATTCTCTGCCCTTCTCCTGCATGCATCGACTGATTGATTTATTGATTGGTTGACTGATTAATTGATAAATTGATTGATTGATTGATTGATCGATCGATTGATGGGTGGATTGATTGATCGGTAGGCCTAGATTGTTTGATTGAGTGATTGATTGGTGGGCCTCCATTCTCCGCCCTCCTCCTGCATGCATCGATCGCTTGATTGGTTGGTTGATTGATTGATTAATTGACTGAAAATGGTTGATTCGTTGATTGATTGATTGATTGATTGATTGATTGATTGGTGCGTCCATCTCTCTCCCTGTCGACACTGAGGAGGAGAGAGAAGATGACGGAAGAGGAACGATCACGGAGGGGAAAGAGAAGAGGAGGAGGAGGAGGCGGAGGAGGAGGAGGAGGAGGACAGGGAAGACGAAGAAGGAAAGGAGGAGGAACCGGCGGAGGACAAAGGATGACCGAATCAGCCGATCAATCAATCATCCCACACGTGCTCCTCCTCCCTCGTCGTTCTCCCTCCTCTACCTTCCTCATCCATCCCGATCTTCCTCATCCATCCCGATCTTCCCCATCCATCCCGACCTTCGTCGTTCACTCGACATCGACATCGTATCCTCCTCCTTCATCCGTGGAATCGGCAGGTGAATCAATGCCGCCTCTCCCTCATCATCCTCCCTCCTCATCCTCCCTTCTCGATCCGACCTATCAATCATCGATCCGACCCAATGTGCTGCCACACGTGTTCCCGCCCCCTAGTCATCCTCCCTTCTCCACATCCCTCATCCATTCCGATTCCTCGCTCGCCCCCCTGACATCGTCGTCGTATCCTACCTACTCCCTCTTCCATCAAATCGGCCGATCAATTAAGCAATGATCCTACACGTGATCCTACACGAGCTTCTCTTCCCACGTCATCCTCCCTCATCCATCCCGATCTCCCTCGTCCTCCTGACATCGTCTTGACATCCTCCTCCCTCGTGCATCAATGATTCTCCCTCGTCGGCATCGTATCCTCATCGAGAGACACACACAGAGAGAGAGCGAGAGAGAGAGAGAGAAAGAGAGAGAGAGAGAGAGAGAGAGAGAGAGAAACAAAGAGAGAGATCAATATTTTGTTCCATCATGTGTGTGTGTGTGTGTGTGTGTGTGTGTGTGTGTGTTTGTGTGTGTGTGTGTGTGTGTG